TCTCTCTCTCTCTCTCTCAAACACAAACTGAAACAAATTAAGTTTATTTATAGGCAGCAGCCGTAGAGCTTGCTTCAATTCAAGGAGAGGGGATGCGAATCCCTCATGACTGGAAAGTTGAAACATGTATCATGAGTGAATTATTTATTTGGAAGAAAATTAGGCATCTAGAAGCCTTCAAAATTTGGGTGTTTTAAGGGTTCATTTGGATTTTAATAATAAATTAGCGGGACCCGTGTGATGCAAGGGATTACGGGATTTATTAAGCAAAAGCTAAATAGTAGAAAGTCATTTACTAAAATACCTCTTATAGTTTTATGGATTTACTAAAATACATCATATAGTTAGCATTTTACTAAAACACCATGTATAATTTGCAACGGATTTAATTAATCTTCTATTAGATGATAGTAGAAAATGATAGTGTTGACCTTAATGTTCATTTAAATAAATTTAATCAAAAGAAAATAAAAATGCAAAATACCATTTTTTCTCTTAATAAGATATGGGCAACCATTTTATTGGCTATATTTAGTCAATTTTGTTTTCTGTACAAAAAAAAGTGTTAATGGATTGATGTCCTTATATAGTTGAGTTGTAGATGAGATCCGTTTCCGCTTTAGACGGAGGGTAATGAACCGGTCAATGAAGTCTATTGTTACCGCCCGATCCGGGCAGGGAGAGGATGAGGCTTGCCATTACGCTGCGTGATCCCAAGAGATTCAGAGTCCGCTGAGAACCTTCTAGAGTTGATTACATGTCACTTCGGTTCCTAGGCCTCAAACTGGCTTAGATGTCGATGTGACTCTATGCCGAGGTGGCTTTATACCGAGATGCCCGAACACCCGAGCTCTCAAAACTATTGACTAGGCTCTTCTTGCCGAGTTGTTATCTTGTTGGCAGATCGCGTCCACATGACCTTTACTTACTAGGTCGTGCCAAATTACCCCTCATCAATTGCCCCCCACTCCTCGTGCTAGGGGTCCTGACTCGGCACGGGGAATTCATGACGAGCCCAGGTGGATTTGGCATGATGTCTAGGTGGTACGAAGATTGGACCTTTGGTTGGACCTGTTCGACTGTTTGGCTCGACTAGGAAGTGACCCAGATCACGTATCAAGAATGCACGGACGTCAAGCCGATTATAAACTCTACACACGTCAAAATGCGCGCTCAACTGATTTCAACCTCGAGTAGCGTGCAACCGATTTTCCTAGGAGCTATTGGATTGCATAGATCTTGGTCGTTGATCCCTGGACATAATGGCTATAAATAGGGGCCGAAGGGCCCATTTTCTTCACCACAAACCACGGGTCTGAAGTCCTGGGAGTCACGTTCAAGTCTCCGAGTTTGTTGTCAACTATTCCCGAGTCCGAGGTCGTCCTACTTTCTTCGGTCTTCTTTGGTGAGTTCATCTTCCTTTATTTTTTGATTCCGTTGTCCATTCCTTTAGCATGTCTAGTCTTAGCTTAGATAGCCTTCTAGATGGGAGCGGTGAGTTCGTTGGGGCCGAGGTGAGCATATTGGCACAGACCGCGGAGCCCTGTCCTGCCGAGGTAGGCACTTTGGCACAGGATGTGGACTCCAGCCCATCCAAGGCAGACTCACCTCGGCCAGAGCGCGAGGCCTCTAGCAAGTTGGCCTCCACTTTGCATCGAGGTCACTTGTTGGACAACTTCGGTTCGTCTATAATGACAGCGGACAAGCTCTTATTTTTAGTAGCTCAGTACAGATTCCCTAATAACTTAGTATACAATTATCCCTTGGGCAACTTTCCTTGGGATCACGGTCATGATGAGATCGTGGTCTTCGAGGAGCAGCTCGTAGCTGGGCTACGTCTTCCACTTCACCCCTTTATAGTCGAACTCGTTAAGTTTTTTAATATCGCCATAGACCAGCTACATCCAAACTCCATCTGCAACATCGTAGGTACCATTTCCCTTTTCCACGATTATAACCGACCTCTAGACCTCGACATCATTTCTTCAATCCTCTTCATCAAGAAAAACTCGGCCTGTGTTCTACCCGAGCATAGGCGAAGCTATTACATGTCTCCTCGCCCCGGGTACAAGATATTGTACGAGCTCCCAAACAAAGTCCCGGCCTGGAAGAGACATTACTTCGTGGTCTGTAACACCGAGGGGTGGCCGTTCTTGACTCACTAAAGGGCCACCATCCAGGACCCCGGCGTCAAATTAGACCCAAAGACACGGGAGGAGGTCCGATCTTAGGCAAAGCTCGGATTGAAGTTCAAGAAATTCGTGACCGAGGAGAAGCTTGTACAAGCCGGGCTAAGTCCTCCTGGTAGGTCGCAATCACAACTACTATACTTATTCCCTTGTCTTGTTTCATATTGATCGCGTACTTACTCTGCTTTCTGCCTTTTCTAGTTGCCATGGTTAACATCCCCATCGACGAGCTCTTCGGGAGCATGCAGAAGGGGAAGAAGAAGAAGAGGGCCTCCAAGAAGGCTCGCCTCCACATCGAGACCACCACCTCCGACGTCAGCGCCTCCATCCCCGAGCACCCACCAGTTGTCAAACAACCTCCTGTTGTCGACTTGGTTGAGAAGGACCAAGGTAAGGCTACCCCGACCCGCGTGCCCGAGGAGACAACATCTTCCGAGCCTCAGCACGTGTAGGCGACCACCACTCCATCGAGTAGCAACACTTCTGCTCAGAGGTCGCTCATCGAGTTGACTTACGGGTCGCTCAGCTCGGGGCCAGAGCAGCCACACACTGCATGGTGGTACGTACTTAACCTTCAGGTTACTTTATACTTAGATTTTTCTCCATACTTAAATTTTGGTTCTTCTTTTGGCAGGTGAACTCCTTGATCTATGCCCTAGTCTACCAGTCCGAGGTGAACTTGAAGTGAACTCTCAAAGTCGAGGAGTCCTCCTGAAGTGCCCAATCCAAGCTTAACTTAGCTCGCAATGAGATCAACCAGCTGAAGAATGATCCGCGTGCCAAGAAGGAACTGTTGACTCTGCTAATGGCGAAGAAGAAGGAGCTAAAGGCAGAGAAAAAGGAGCCAGGTGACTCTGATGAGAGGGAATGAGAACCTCGAGGCGCTGGTAAAAGAGCAGACTGAAATTCTTCTCCAGGCGATGGAGGATGCCAAGGTTAAGGCCATCAAGGAGTACAAGTCTTCGGCAAAATATCACGAGAAGCTGGTCGAGGCCAGGACAGTAGGCTACCCGCAAGGGGTTTAAGCTCAACAGATGGTTGACCTAGCATGAATTTCCCCACCTCAACCTCAGTACCATCACAACATCCAAGATCACCAAGGAGATGGCCATTAAAACACTTAAGGACCCAGACTCCGAGGAGGAGAGCGATGACGACTTTCTCAGCAGTGAGACAGCGGGAGAGGGAGAGGGAGCTGATGCCGCTAAGGACCATATGGAGACAAATCTGCCTATTGATGCCTTTACTGGTGATGAGGAGCCCTAAACTGACTGATGTCTGTTTTCTTGGACCCCCTTTGTAAATACTCGATGTCCTGAGCCTTCGAGCTCGACTAAATAGTTGTAACTTTTTGTTGTTGTTGTTGTTTCTTTTTACTATGTATCCGATGTGCTTTATCAATGGAATACAAGTATTTTGCAAAATTCCTTGTATGTAGAAAAATTTTCTAAGTATAGATTACTCCTGAGCTGGCGAGCTAAACAAAATAGGAGCAAAATTTTTTTAAGTGTAGATTACTCCCGAATTGGCGAGCTTAACTCGAATAGGAATAATCTAAGAGGCAACCGAGTCTTAGACTGCTTATGCCGAAGGGGGTGACTATGACTTCTCTACCCATGTTGGAGAGGCGACTGGGTAGGCTTCTGGGAGTGACTTAAGGTCCTCTCTCCAGTTCGTCGTCTGTAGGATCAGCTCAATGATCCTATGGACTTAGTCGTTTCTGTTTGCGTTGAGGTTTACAGTTAGTATCTCCTTAGGTTGTCAATGTTCCAAGCTCGAGGTACCTAATTCCCTTCCATGGTCTCGAGATCATAGGTTCCTTCTCCGAAACCCGTCTCACCCGGTAAGGACCTTCCCAATTCAGACTGAGCTTACCCACGCCGGGCTCAGGTACCACTACCTTACGGAGGACCAGGTTGCCGACTCGGAATTGTCGCTTCCTGACCCGAGCATTATAATACTGAGCTACTCGTTGTTGGTAAGCCGTAGTTCAAATGTGGGCCAGATTGCATACCTCCTCAACGAGGTCTAAGTTAGTTCTGAGCTCGTCGTCATTTGCCTCTTCGTTGTAAGCTTCGAGCCACAACGTT